GTGGATCTGGGCCAGAAATGGAGCCGTGGCCAGGGCCTGAGGCTGGGACCGGGGCTTGGGCCGGGTACGGAGCCGCTGCTGGGCTGTGGTCGGAGGCCAAAGCTGGGAGTGGGCCAGGAGCTGGGGCCACAGCTGGGAGCGTGGCTGGAGCAGAGGGGATGGGTGGTGCTCTCTCCCCGCCTCCCACCGCAACCCCCACCCCCGAATATTCCTCCATGCCCCCGTAGGAGGGCACACCCCATTGTTTGGGTACCTGTGATCTAAGGCATCCTGTTCTAGAAAAGGATACCATGGCAGACAGAACGACCACAGGACAGCGGTCTGGTAGGCAAGGTGTTAGTTATGGAGAGGCAGAAGCTGATGAGAAAATAACAGATCTATAAAATATTAGAAAATAAACATACATGGTCATGTTAATATGTGACAATGTGGGGCGTTTCAAAGGTGGTATTGATGCAGCTTGGGACGGCTGCATTACTGTCAAGTGGTGAAGCTAAGAGTGAGTTAGGCAGATCATTTTTGCGCCATCCTATATTCTGCACAGGCCACCACCACAGTAGGGGATAAAGAGAAGATTTCAGTCTCCAAGGTTGTGAGTCCAACACCCTTCATCAGCACAGTCACGTCAGAACAGAACTCCTAGAAGGAATTATCTAGATGCTGTACCTATGCATCCCGCAGTCACAGAGTGGAGACGTCTTTGTTTTCCTCTGGTGGCTGGCCAAAGATGAGTCTGATGAGTCTAGTGCAACCAGGAGGCAAAGCAGCACCTTTAGCTCAAACAGTGCTCATGGTTTTCGCGCTAGAGGTCCTGTGTTCAACCCTTGATGTCAGCCCAAGCAGGGTGGGTTACATCTGCTTAGATTGTCTCAAGGCGTAGGCTGAACTGCTGAAAGATTCTTACCTGGCCAATAACTGCCAGCTCATTCTTTTCCACGGGTCATTGCTTTTCAACTTCCCCAAACGCCGGCCATCATTTAGTTGCTCTTCAGCTAATCAATATGCTCACCTCTCCCATGTGAAAAGCTTATCTTCCTAGCATGTCTTCTGTTCAGTGCATGAACCAATCCCCTTTATTCTGCAGCCCATCTGCTGAGGCAGCAATTAGTTTATGGTCAGGTTTTATCATTAGGGTTTAAAAGGAAAAAAAAATTGCAGAGTAAAAAGGTTCCATGGTTTATCCAGTGGCCAGCGAAATGTGGATGCAGCAAAGCAACTGCAGTAAGAATGTGACTCTCCTTTGTGTCACACGCTTATTACACCAACCATATTCTCTGTGTGTGTAACAAAGAGGCAGCCAGACACTGACAAAGAAAGAAGGGGGCATTATCCTAACTTTCCCCCCTCCTTTTGACATTATGGTTTTGTTTGATTCTCAGTTGCTGGGCAGCCAAAGCCAGTGACTAGGGACTTTCTATGGGAGGAAATGCAAACTGCTAAATGAGCAAAAAAGTAAGTCATAGTAGACCAGGTCCCAGGCCTTGCTCCAGCCTTGAAAAGAAAAAGACCAACTGGAGTCTCTAGTTCGATTATCAGATTATCTAGTTCCTCACCTGGCACCAGTGCAGCATTGTTCCTGGCAGCAATTTACTTGTGTTTCCTTGTGATTAAACTTAGATTGCATTGTACTCCTGGCAGACTTCTGTGCCAAAAAAAATACTTTGTGCATAATATTTTAAAATTCTGCAAAATTGTGCCAATTTTATTTGTCAAAATAACACTACATAATCGTGCCAGTTTCAATTATTTTGATAATTTATTTCAAAATACCTATCAGCAAGTATGTCTGTAACAATACAGACACACAAAAATTCCCCCAGGAGTAGAGCATTAAAGAAACCCCAATTCCTGTTTCTCTGCTCTCTGCCTCTCAGAGCCCCGCTGGGGGACCAGACATCCACAATCCCTCCCCCCAGCCAATACACCCAAATCCCCTACCCCCCCAGAACCCAGCTGTGGGGCCTTCCCAGCCCAGATACCCGTACACCTCCCTCCCAGAGCCCAACCACGGTCCAGATACCCACACCCTCCCCCCACCAGAGCCCAGCCGTGGCTCCTCCCAGCCCAGACACCCACCCCTCTACCCCTCAGAGGGCAAGGATACAGAGGGAGAAGCAGCCTGATGCTGGGTCCCAGGCTTGTGTGGAGTTTCCTCTGCACCGCCATCTCCTTCCCTCAGGGCATGTTGGCAACTGCAGCTGCTGGGACCCCTCTAGCTTCCTCCCCATCCCCCCGGCAGTGTCTTCTATATGCGAGCTGGGCTTTGCCGGGTCCAGCGGCCCCTAGTGGTGGCCAGCCGCACTGCAGCCCATTTCTGTGGGGGAAAGGAAATTCTGCATGCACATTAATGTCTGCAAAATTCTGCATTGCACAGTGGCACAGAATTCCCCCAGGAGTAGCACTGTAAGTGTTACTCAAGCTTGAAGGTCACTAATGTGGGTATTGTGAGATGGAAGGATCCTCCCATGGATAAGGCACTGGACTAGCACTCGGCGAGCTTGGGTTCAAATGCAAATGCACAGGTAACCTTAATTCTGGTGTTTCCTAACTTTTGAGTACTTTACTTTGCAACCTTAGTATTTTTAAGGCACTGGTGAGACCTCATATGGAATACTGTGTGCAGTTCTGGTCTCCTATGTTTAAGAAGAATGAATTCAAACTGGAACAGGTACAGAGAACGGCTACTAGGATGAGCTGAGGAATGGAAAACCTGTCTTTTGAAAGGAGACTCAAGGAGCTTGGCTTGTTTAGCCTAACCAAAAGAAGGTTGAGGGGAGATATGATTGCTCTCTATAAATATATCAGAGGGATAAATACTGGAGAGGGAGAGGAATTATTTAAGCTCAGTACCAATGTGGATACAAGAACAACCATCAGAGGAGTAAAGTTCTGGAATAGCCTTCCAAGGGAAGCAGTGGGGGCAAAAGACCTATCTGGCTTCAAGATTAAACTCAATACGTTTATGGAGTAGATGGTATGATGGGATACCATGATTTTGGCAATTAATTGATCTTTAACTATTCATGGTAAATAGGCCCACTGGCCTGTGATGGAATGTTAGATGGGGAGGGATCTGAGTTACTACAGAGAATTCTTTCCTGGGTATCTGGCTGGTGAATCTTGCCCATATGCTCAGGGTTCAGCTGATCGCCATGTTTGGGGTCAGGAAGGAATTTTCCTCCAGGGCAGATTGGAAGAGGCCCTGGGGGTTTTTCGCCTGCCTCTGTAGCATGGGGCACGGGTCACTTGCTGGAGGATTCTCTGCACCTTGACATCTTTAAACCATGATTTGAGGATTTCAATAGTTCAGACATAGGTGAGAGGTTTATTGCAGGAGTGGATGGATGAGATTCTGTGGCCTGCATTGTGCAGGAGGTCAGACTAGATGATCATAATGGTCCCTTCTGACCTTAGTATCTATGAATCTATGTGCAGTGGCAGAAATTTAAGTGCCTACAGGATTAAGCGGCAGCTGAGAAGAGGTTCTGAAATTCTAAGTTTTGGATTCAGATACCTAAAGTAGCAGTTAGGCACCTAAATCCCTTTGTGGATCTAGTCCTAAGTGCTTTACAGATATGAAAAAAGACATAGGTCTAGTAACAGATATTGGGAGTCACCAAATGGTATTATTAGATATAGTTTTACAAGTTTTATTTAAATTAATGTGTAGGTAGTAAGATCTTGGAGAAATGCTAGCTGTTAGTTGAAGCTCTTAATATCACTAGTAAAATTGGTTCTCTCCGAATGGCATAATTTCATGTTTGCAAATTTGCTGTCTACAGGGGATACCCTCAGGCAAATTAAAACATGATGTCAAAAGCACTATGATCCCGGACATGAAGATTTTACAATCTACATAGACCACACAGGAATGTAGGGAAGGGGGCTATGAAAGTAGTGTGAACAAGCAGTTAAATTATGACATAGTCCTTGTGAGGGCCATGTTTTTTTGCTATAATAGGACATACAAATCCTTGGTTGATGGGAGGGCTGGGCTGTGTGAGATTGGCAGGGAAGGGGCCTTGTAAGAAGGGAACTGAAGGAGTATATTGTGGAGGCATGAAGAGGTCATGGAAGAGAGCAGGAGGACGAGACAAAGGGGTTGGGTGCGTTGGGCAGAGAAGGGGAAATGAGTATGGGGAGCAAAGAGGCCAGCCAGAGCTGAGTTGTCGAGTGTCGATGCTCTGAAACGGGAGGAAGGCAAATCAGGGCAAGGCAGAGCTTTGAGGGTGGGTGGGAAGAGGACGAGATGGGGGGCGGGGGTCACAGCAGCAGTGACAGGAGTTGAGTAGTGTGGGGCTTCCAGGGTACAGGGTGGCCTGGAGTGTGTGTGGGTGGGTGTTGGGGGGGTTGGCAGGTCCTGTCTCATGGGGCGTGCCCCAGAGAAGGGGCATTGCGACCTGTTGTTTCATTGAGTGGCTGGGGGAAGAGGGAGGTCCCAGTGTGAGGGTCCGCTACAGGATGCAGACAGTGGTCAGCCCTAGGGGGAGATGGTCGGTCTCACCGCAAGGTGGGGGGAGGGGGAAGGGTAGGGTTTTGGCAGCTTCCAGCCCACCAGTGCCCCAACTGCACAGGAGATGGCCGGTAGTCTACAGAGACTACAGGCCCCAGCCTGCAATGCGTTCCATTGACTCTAGCAGTAGGCCTCTGTAGTTTGTTGAGACCACGATTCCCAGCAGGCATTGGTCCTATCTAGGAGCAGTCAGGGCTCGTTTTTGCGCAAGGGATGCTGGGATTTGGAGTTTCCGTGGCACCCGCGCTTCAGCACGCGTCCCAGTCGGTCTTCAGAGCGCATGTGCAGTAGAGGCGGGGCTGTGCTGTGAGGGACCCACGCGCGGGGGGCGAGCCCAAGTGTTCGCTGGTTGGCGGGTGCGTGACTGCGGCTCCGCCCCCTCCGGCTGCTGGTTGGTGTGCGTGCGCCCGAGGCTCCGGCCCCTCCTCGCTGGTTGGCTGGCGCGGGCCAATGGGCTGTGCCGCGTGGCGGTGGCGGGAAGTGCGGCGGGCACCGGCCGGGTAGGTCCGCGCGGGGCGGTAACCGCTGCGGCAGAGCCGGGTCTTTTCCCCGGCCTGAGGGGAGCCAAGCAGGCGCGGGGGGTGAGGACCCCGCGGCCCTGAGCAGCCTTCGCCCCAGTGTGCCGGAGGCTGGGGTGGTGGCCCGGGGTGGGGAGCTGCGGCGGTGGGGGCTGGGCCGTTGGTGGGTGAGGGGGCAGGATGCGGAGCAGGGTGATGGCTGGGCCGTGGGGAGGGTGAGGGGTCGGGGTGGGGGCAGGATGTGGTGATGGCTGGGCCGTGGGGAGGGTGAGGGGTCGGGGGTGGGGGCAGGATGTGGTGATGGCTGGGCCGTGGGGAGGGTGAGAGGTCGGGGGTGGGGGCAGGATGTGGTGATGGCTGGGCCGTGGGGAGGGTGAGGGGGGGGTGGGGGCAGGATGTGGTGATGGTGGGCGTGGGGAGGGTGGGGGCGGGGGGGGCAGGATGTGGTGATGGTGGGGTGGGGAGGGTGAGGGGTCGGGGTGGGGGCGGTGTGGTGATGGTGGGGGGGGGGGGTGGGGGGGGTGGGGGAGGATGTGGTGATGGTGGGGTGGGGAGGGTGAGGGTCGGGGGTGGGGGCAGGATGTGGTGATGGCTGGGCCGTGGGGAGGGTGAGGGGTCGGGGGTGGGGGAGGATGTGGTGATGGTGGGGTGGGGGGGGGGGTGGGGGCAGGATGTGGTGATGGCTGGGTCGTGGGGAGGGTGAGGGGTCGGGGGGGGGGCAGGATGTGGTGATGGCTGGGCCGTGGGGAGGGTGAGGGGTCGGGGTGGGGGCAGGATGTGGTGATGGCTGGGCCGTGGGGAGGGTGAGGGGTCGGGGTGGGGGCAGGATGTGGTGATGGCTGGGCCGTGGGGGGGGTGAGGGGTCGGGGGTGGGGGCAGGATGTGGTGATGGCTGGGCCGTGGGGAGGGTGAGGGTCGGGGGTGGGGGCAGGATGTGGTGATGGCTGGGCCGTGGGGAGGGTGAGGGGGGGGGGTGGGGGCAGGATGTGGTGATGGCTGGGCCGTGGGGAGGGTGAGGGGTCGGGGTGGGGGCAGGATGTGGTGATGGCTGGGCCGTGGGGAGGGTGAGGGGTCGGGGTGGGGGCAGGATGTGGTGATGGCTGGGCCGTGGGGAGGGTGGGGGTCGGGGTGGGGGCAGGATGTGGTGATGGCTGGGCCGTGGTGAGGGGTCGGGGTGGGGGCAGGATGTGGTGATGGCTGGGCCGTGGGGAGGGTGAGGGGTCGGGGGTGGGGGCAGGATGTGATGGCTGGGTCGTGGGGAGGGTGAGGGGTCGGGGGTGGGGGCAGGATGTGGTGATGGCTGGGTCGTGGGGAGGGTGAGGGGTCGGGGGTGGGGGCAGGATGTGGTGATGGCTGGGTCGTGGGGAGGGTGAGGGGTCGGGGGGGGGGCAGGATGTGGTGATGGCTGGGCCGTGGGGAGGGTGAGGGGTCGGGGTGGGGGCAGGATGTGGTGATGGCTGGGCCGTGGGGAGGGTGAGGGGTCGGGGGTGGGGGAGGATGTGGTGATGGTGGGCGGGGGAGGGTGGGGGTCGGGGGGCAGGATGTGGTGATGGCTGGGCCGTGGGGAGGGTGAGGGGTCGGGGTGGGGGCAGGATGTGGTGATGGCTGGGCCGTGGGGAGGGTGAGGGGTCGGGGTGGGGGCAGGATGTGGTGATGGCTGGGCCGTGGGGAGGGTGGAGGTCGGGGGTGGGGGCAGGATGTGGTGATGGCTGGGCCGTGGGGAGGGTGAGGGGTCGGGGTGGGGGCAGGATGTGGTGATGGCTGGGCCGTGGGGAGGGTGAGGGGTCGGGGTGGGGGCAGGATGTGGTGATGGCTGGGTCGTGGGGAGGGTGAGGGGTCGGGGGTGGGGGCAGGATGTGGTGATGGCTGGGTCGTGGGGAGGGTGAGGGGTCGGGGGTGGGGGCAGGATGTGGTGATGGCTGAGCCGTGGTGGGACTGGACTGTGGGAAGGTGATGAGGGGCTGGGGTGGTTGGAAGATGAAGAGGGTTGCGGGGACTTCTGGGGTTGGGAGTCAGGACAATGTTGCGGGGGAGGGGACCGCTGGCACTGGGGTGATGATACAGTGGGTGTATGTGGCTCGTCAGCGAGGGACTGGGATTTGGGACTGCAGATGTGGGCAGTGGGGGTTGGTGCTGTTGTGAGGTGGGGTAGGGCTGAATTAGAGTTCCTGTCTGTTCAGCACCTTTGGAGAGACTAGTGTTGGCAAACCGGCTTTGTCTAGAAGCTGCTGTTCAGGTCATGTCTTCCTTCTTTTCTCCCCTAGTTGCGAGGTACGCTCTCCACTGGGAAGCTCACCTTTCTCTTTACCAAACATTGTTTGTTGTGCTCCCTGTTGATGCAGCAGTTTAATTCTGTACAGTGCCATTTTGCAGTGGTTATAGCAAACTGTGCAGCAGGACTGTGCTGAACAGTGATTCTTGAAAGCTGTCTCCATGCTCGATTTCTTCCTTAAAATCCCACTGTTGCTACCAATCCCTATGCAACAGGTTTCTATGTTCCAAGCAACACACAATAAAATATAGAGCACTAAAATAAAGCATCAAACAGAAGCACATGAAGCATTGGGGGGTGAGCTGTCAGATTTTTACCAAACTTTTCTTGTCTTTCTATTTCAGGATTTTCCTGCAGGTGAAAGTCTGAGGAGTGTTATGACTTCAAAGGTCTTTTTTGTCTGTTGCCCATTGGGCCACAAAAAGATATGGCTGCAGAAGCTAAGTACAGCATTGTAAGGGAAGTGGGCCGAGGGAGCTATGGGGTAGTTTACGAGGCAGTTGTCAGGCAAACCAGAAACAAAGTGGCAGTGAAAAGGATGCATTGTAATGTACCTGAAAATGTGGAACTGGCTTTGCAAGAGTTCTGGGCCCTGCAAAGTGTCCAGAGCCAACATGAGAATGTGATCCAGTTAGAAGAGTGTGTCTTGCAGAGTGGTCAAGTCTTTCAGCCAATCAGCCGCCAGTACAGGAAATCCGACAGTCATCTGCTGCTGATTGAGACCTGTCTGAAAGGGCGGAGATGCATGGACCCCAAGTCTGCCTGTTTTGTGTGGTTTGTTATGGAGTTCTGTGATGGTGGAAACATGAATGATTTTTTGCTGTCTCGCACTCCAGATTCACAGCTGAATAATAGCTTCATGCAGCAGCTGAGCAGTGCTGTTGCTTTCTTGCACAGAAATCAGATTGTGCACAGAGACCTGAAGTCGGATAATATTCTTATTTCCCATAGCCCTGGAGGTCCTTTAGTAAAGGTAAGAGGGTAATCCTTCTTGCTGCTGCTCAATATGTGGGTGAAGTGTTATGCCAATTGCATTACTTGCACTGAGTTGGTCACTTGGGTAACATTGTAATATTCAGTTTCTTCATTTGTTTCCTTCCCTTTGAACTTTTAGAAAAGGATGGGCAAGTCACTTGTATGAGTCTCAAAAGAGGATTTTGGTGAGGATGTGGGTCAGTCAGTTGCCTTTTGGACTCTTCCGGGAATCCTGAGAGCATTTCTGTAGCATCTTTCACGCACAAGACATTCCGTTAAGAGGAACAATTTAGGGCTAATTCAGTTTTAAATCACTACCTAGCCACTGTGTTCCTGATCAGTGGTGGAATATTTTGTCACTGAAGGCAGCAGGGCACCTGTGATTTCAGTGCAATCACTCTGCTGGGTCCAGGACCTATTGGGGCTAGACTTGGTACCACTGAGACTAGAGGGTTGCCATGCTAAATTGTAGAGGGTAAAATTGCTGGCAGAAAGGGACATTTTAAATACACTCTGCACTAACCAATTGCAACTAATCGTACTATGGTTCCTGCTTTCTGGAACAGGTTAATTTGTCCTTGGGGGGGTATGGGAAGGAAGCATGAAGATATCGAGAATAAGGTCTTCAAAGGTTTATACAGCATCTTCCCTTCCCTTATTGGTGGACCTACAGTCCTTATACACTGGTCAACACTTACAATATTGTAGCCTCTAGCACTGCTTGCTGTTTTGGAAGCAAGAGGTTTTCTTGTCTCTTGCTTCAACTGGGCTCCAGTCATGTGTCTTTATGGTTAAAATGAAGACTGACTAATTCTCTTCCTTACAGTGACAGACTAAAAACAAGTCTGTCTTTGTAACAATTCAGTGGGAAGAGCAGCTTAGCGACAAGGAAGTCAACTCACAGTTTACTCCTAAAAAGAAAAGGAGTACTTGTGGCACCTTAGAGACTAACCAATTTATTTGAGCATGAGCTTTTGTGAGCTACAGGTCACTTCATCGGATGCATGCCGTGGAAACTGCAGCAGACTTTATTTATACACAGAGAATATGAAAAAATACCTCCTCCCACCCCACTGTCCTGCTGGTAATAGCTTATCTAAAGTGATCATCAGGTGGGCCATTTCCAGCACAAATCCAGGTTTTCTCACCCTCCACCCCCCCACACAAATTCACTCTCCTGCTGGTGATAGCCCATCCAAAGTGACAACTCTTTACACAATGTGCATGACAATAAAGTTGGGCCATCTCCCGCACAAATCCAGGCCCTCCCACCCCCCCACCCCAAAAACCACACACACAAACTCACTATCCTGCTGGTAATAGCTCATGCAAAGTGATTATGCACATTGTAGGGAGAATGGTCACTTTGGATGAGCTATTACCAGCAGGATAGTGAGTTTGTGTGTGTGGTTTTTGGGGGGGGGGGTGGGAGGGCCTGGATTTGTGCGGGAAATGGCCCAACTTTATTGTCATGCACATTGTGTAAAGAGTTGTCACTTTGGATGGGCTATCACCAGCAGGAGAGTGAATTTGTGTGGGGGGGGTGGAGGGTGAGAAAACCTGGATTTGTGCTGGAAATGGCCCACCTGATGATCACTTTAGATAAGCTATTACCAGCAGGACAGTGGGGTGGGAGGAGGTATTTTTTCATATTCTCTGTGTATAAATAAAGTCTGCTGCAGTTTCCACGGCATGCATCCGATGAAGTGAGCTGTAGCTCACGAAAGCTCATGCTCAAATAAATTGGTTAGTCTCTAAGGTGCCACAAGTACTCCTTTTCTTTTTGCGAATACAGACTAACACGGCTGTTCCTCTGAAACCTGTCAGTTTACTCCTAAACTCCCAATTCCATGGGAGTTCCAGTAGTTAACCTAGAGGATGGTAGGTCTGTCCCTTGTGGGTAATCCATGTCTTGGCCCTCCAGATCAGTACTGGCATATGCTTTCACCTTTGGAACAGCCAAAGGACAATCAAACTGAAGTTTTGTTATTCAATACAGATAATAGTGAATACAATAGGGTTCAGAGCACTCAATAACCTGCTCAACTGCTGTTCTGTTCATGCCTGTATGCACAGTACAATGTTATAGGTAATAATGGTGACCTTCTAATCTCTTCTCTTTTCGTATATAGGTAGCAGACTTTGGCTTGAGTAAGATATGCCAGGGGAAAGTGAATGTGAACCAGCATTGTTTCTCATCAGCCTGTGGGTCAAACTTCTACATGGCACCAGAAGTGTGGGAAGGTCGCTATACTGCCAAAGCTGATATCTTTGCCCTCGGGATCATTTTCTGGGCTATGGTAGAGAGGATTACCTTCAGGGATGGAGACTCTGAGAAGGAATTGCTGGGTGAGAGTAATTGCTGTACAGCCAGCAATGAGCCCTAATTTACAGATCATTCTCCTACCCTATCCCCAGCAATCCTCTAAGCCATGAGGATCCTTTTCCCAGGTATAGTCACATCACCACCCTTTTTCCTGTCATAGTATTGGATATGGCTTCCTCTGGAGTCGGTCAACATTTCTCCACGTCACCACCAGAGGTATTGCCAGAAATCCGTAAAGCCATCTTCCCCTTTCTCCCTACCCCTTTCCTCATGTTGAGTCCGCTTTCTCTGTGGGACTCCCCATTCTTTAAGTCCTAGGAGCAACATGTTATAGAGCACATTATCTTAATTTTACTTTTGTCTGAAAGCTTTGTTAGACTTTTGTGATCTCTACTGCTTTTCCATTTACAAAAAAACTTTTGTGACATAAACGGCTAGGAGAAGAAAACTTGTCATCTGGCTTGGGCCATCCATTGAGGATAGGGGGTTGGGAGATCAACAGGTGCTCAGCAGAAATGGGACTAGCTCCAATGAACTTTAATCAACCAACCAACCAAAGAACTCCAAAACAAAACCCCCAAACATATTCAAAAGGAAATACTGAAACTCAAGAGTTAAATTCCATTGGTGAAGCATTTTCAGTATATCCACACTCTACAGTCAAGATTCAGCAGCGTTATAGCCATGTATGCTTTTCCAGTGGTTTTCAAACTGATTTGATCACGCCCCCCCCTTCTTTGTGTTTGTAGTGGTTTATGCGCCCACCTCCAGCTACACAAGTACATATACCAATATATGCTTCACTTGAATGAGTTTTGGTGTCTTTGTTTTTCAGTTGAGTTGTTTTTTTCTGGTGCACAAATGAGCCAATGATCCATTGTAATAAGAGCAAAAGCAAAGCTGCAATTGTGGTCCATGCTGACACTTAAATGTGCAAATGGATTAACCTACAAATGGCAATTTGTATAATGCTAGGCAAGCTTAACAGATATCCATCAAAATGCACAGCGCCATCTGAGGACCTGATATGTCTGGAGGAATCAGCTTTGCTAGTTATTCACTGCTGGGGGTAAAATGTGCATAGTAAGATTGGGGTTCCCCCCCATCCCCTAAAGCTTCTCATGCCCTCCCGCCCCCGAATACAATCTGCACCCCCCAGTTTGAGAACTGCTGCCCTACCTTGTTACCCCTGCTGTAAACCTATCTTTCCTTGGGCTGATCTACAGTTGGTACATTTTGACCTGCTGATAGTGATGGTATATTTAAAGGCCACAAGGCAAAGGAACCATCCAAAGGATTGTAAGGACATGTAAGAAAATTGGTTATAAAGCTGGAAGGGATGTTGAGGTCATCCTTAGTGCTGTGTCTGGCTGAACAAGATTCTATAGCGATGGATGGTCTGTGATTCTAGGAATATCTATTGCAATAGAAAATCCACCTTGAAAGAACAGAATGACAATCTTTCATATGAGCATACTAATCAGAGGCATCTCAACTCATACACAAGGAAGCCCAATATACATAACGTACACATTTTTTTAAATGTCTGACATAATTTCAAGTCACAATAAAGGCATTCAGAGAGAGGTTCCTTTTACTGAGCTGCTGCTTTAAGTTTTCAAAACATCATGGAATTAAGAACTGAGAGAGTTCCTTTTCAAAATGCCAAACAGCAAAAAATGTTTTAGTTCTTGGCTAGAAAAATAGTAAATATTCTGGGTCTGAGACCAAGGCACGAACAGACTTCATTAAAGTTTATTCAATAGCCATCCGCCAACTTGAGATAAGAGACTTGCCTGGCTAACCTCCATATGCACATCGGTCACTTATTCCGTGCTTGCAGCAAGGGCAGAGCAGCTTGGCTGAGCAGAGCTTTCTTTGCTGTCTCTTTGGAACCCAGCTAATCTATTTTGACCAGTGATTTTATTTACATTTCTGTTCCTTAATTTTGCTGAGGAGAAGCTGTATCCAGCAGTCTGGATAAATGTAAATGGAACATACTGTCATTTAATATTAAAAATTGTTTGACTTAAATAACTGAATCACTATTTGCTTAGTTAACTTTTTTCTAAGTCATCTGAACCAAACACAACCTGCCTTTGTCTTTCTTAGAGCTTCCAGTTCTACTGATGCAGTAAAATTAATTGAAAGAGTGGAGTAGGGGAAGCTCTTTGCAACAGGCTGTTTTCTCTGTCAAATGGTTATAGGGATCACACGCAATGTCCTGTGCAGGCTAAATTTAAAAGTGTGTTTCTGTTTCCCTCTGCTTGATGCACACTTGTGCTGAAATGGGGATGTGACAAACTTGAGGGTTCCTGTTTTGGTATTGAACTTCTTCTGGGGCTGATATCTTACAACACTTATCTTGGCAGTAGCCTCTGAAGTTGGGTTTCACATGCTGTGATCTTTTACTAATCTTGTGTTGCTTGTCAGATGGACGTGTGCTGTGGATGAACTTATTCTTGTGAGAATTCTCCTTTTCCCCAATCTGACTTCTCCCTCTTTCCAAACTATGCCCAGGAACCTACATCTGTCAAGGCAAGCAGCTTATTCCTGTTGGGGAGGCGCTGCTGGAGAATCCCAACATGGAACTGCAAATTCCTCTGAAGAACAAGAAGTCCATGCCAGACGATCTTTGCAGACTCCTGCATGACATGTTAACTTTTAACCCAAAGGAAAGACTGGATGCCTTCCAACTAGAAATTCGAATCAGGAGAATCTCTTATGGCAAAAAGCGCCAACGCTCATAGCAGCATGGGGTGATCAGGTTGGTGTCTACTGGGCTTCTCATTTCAAACTTGCAATCCTAGTTTTTGATACTGACCTGATTGGCCTAAGTTCTTTAAATCTAACAGCAGTTCCCTAGATTCATTGCTTGGTTTCTTTCAGTTTGATTGCACCCTTCGCTGTCAGGATAGCTGCTCTATAGAAGGAATATTTTGGGTTCAGTATATTGTATGGCCCCATGAGTGGTAACTGCTCAGCACACTTATAGGTAATAGAACTGGAGATAAGAAACCAGTGTCAAATTAAGCTGCTTATCCCTAATAAGCACCTGTAATGGGTTTTGCACACATTCGTTACTGTGAGTTACCACATATTTTCTACGTGTGGATTCACCTTAAAAGGTGGTGTTTGGCACTCTTGCATGTTAGAAAAATGTGAGTCAGGTTATGTAATGAAAAGTTGACTGTTATGTTAATGCCAAGAGCCCTATCAGATTGGGAGTCGTGTTGTACTAGGTAAGGTGCTGTACCCAGAGAAAGGTGGGGTTCCTGCCTCAAACTGCTTTTACAAACAGGCCTCAGTCCTGAAATAGAATCTCCTAGAATGTGTCCCTGTGCCCTTCCTGGGCCCCTATGAAAATAATGCTGCTTATTAGGTCTGACTTTGTGCTCACACTTGGAAAATTTTGGCCCTGGTCATTGCATGTTATTGTGTGTCCTTTTTTGTTTTGTTTTTGAGACTAGACAGTATCAGCTTTAAAACTTCAAGTGTGTACAGCACAGATTTCAGAAATTCTTCCTGTCAAATGTTTTGTACATTGTAATGAGGAAGCAGTAAGTCGTTAATAGGGTAGTGACCAAAACACTTCATTCTGTTGCAAAATACATTAATTCACTGTAATTTTCTAATTGTTGCATCTATTTTTAAGTCTGCTATAAGACTGTTCTCCATGGTGGACTGCAGAAACATTAGTTGAAATTAGCTGCAATAGAGATGATACCAAACTTTATAAGACTATCAGTCACCTTTCTTTTGCCCCCAAAGGGGTCTCTTGCATCCTTTCCTCAGTGATGGAAAACCCCAGCTTTCTTCCTGAAGAATACTGGGCTCTCCCAAACCCACCAGGCAGAAGCACAGTTGTCTGTAAGGGTTGCTAATAAGTACAGTTTTTTTTCCTTCCTGGAGCTGGGAATGTCTTTCTGGCACCTCTAGCTCATACCAGCCTGAGAAGCAAGTGACACCAGCCTGAAACTTGTGGTCTAAGGCACTGTCATGCCCAGCAGTACACTAACTATCAGATCAGTGTTAGATTGTTTACTGTCATTTGACTGTGAATTCTTAAGCTAATGGAGTAGAAGAGCACAAAGGATGCTGTAGAAGATTGTGAAACTGATGATGTTTCCGTGGTGGTTGCAGTGTTTTAACAGTAAATCTGGAGACTGAAGTCCTCTCTGAATTGCAGGTACAGCAGGAAGGGCACTGCCAAATTTTACCTGTTGCTGTGGCTTTATTTGTTTCTCAAGTTAGATGGCTCATATCTCACGATCTTTCTTAGAAACTATAGCACCAGCTGAGTGTTTTTTGCTAACCGGCTTTAGGCTGCCAAATTGTTCAACCTGCTTTACTGAAGAAATTATTCTTTAAAATGTATTTCTTCTTCCTTCTCTCTTCACTCCCACAGCTATTGAAACTGTGCTGTCTGTCTCTCCAGTACCATCTGTTCTGGGAACAGGCAAAGTCTGCTAGTCTTGTGGAACCATCATAGTTGAGGAAGAGTCAAACTTTGGAATGTAGACCACAATTAAGATTGCACCAGGCAATAAAACCACTTTGAGGCACTTTAAATGTTTGTATGGCAGAGGGTTGGCTACTCACTGCAACTCTTGCTTGTTTTGTCATACTTTGGTGATGACTCTATGTTGACACAGCCTCTATGCTAGAAATACTTATTTGTATGTGTGCACTTTTGTTACCTCAGACTGTGTATTTTAAATTTAATAAAAGGTTTTATACAGACACCTTATATCCCTGCTCTGGTCATGAAGCACTAAATCGTGACACCACCTACACAGAAGGAATGATGTGTGTAAGGTGGATGGCCCTGGTGAAAGCTATTGCTTCAGTGAGTGAACAGAAATATTTCTCAGCTTTTATTATTTACATGACTAAAAACTAAATGCTCTCGGGGGAGGTTTGGAATCTGCTCTTGGTTATCTGTCTTGTGCTCCTGACGTGCTTGTTCCTGAAACTCCCTCTTGTCTGTGACGTAATGTGGTGCTGACAGCAAACAAGGACAATTCTGTAGACCTTGCACAGTACTGGGACTAGATCACCTAACAAATCTCATCCATTTTTTACTTCTATTTTGTCCTACAGAAGGTAGCACTTTTTGAGAATTGAGCCTATAGTTGGGGAATGTGCGGAGTTTATGTATGGAAGGCACAAACTGAACATGAGCATGGCCTGGAATAAAGAAATATCCTACTTCCATTCTGTAGGGGAGAGGAGGACAGAAAACTGAACCTTGTGAGTTCCTATGCTACCAAAGTTTCTCTCTTCAAAGTTAAACTATAGTAGTTTCAAGAAAGCAAAATACAGAAAATCAGTTAGTTGCCTTCAGCTTGGGCCTAATGTGCATTTTGTTAATTGGAAACTATTTCCATGACAGACAAGTTTTATGTGAAGAAGGAATTTTGAACTAATCTACTTTTTATGTTTGTACTACCTTGGCATAATATGGTTATTCTACAGCAAGTGCTTTTGTTAACTTGCACAGTCCTGAGAACTGCTGGTTTCAGAACACTTAGACTTCTCAGTATGAAAGTTTGGGACTAAAAGCAATGTTAGGGTTACAGTAAGTTAATGCCCCTGTGCCTACTCCCTAGCTCTTAAATACTGAAACAGGATGGCTTCTGTAATATTTGAGCAGTAACACTAGCTAGAGTTATCATGGATCTTTTGCAATTGTGTATTCTATGTATGAAAAATCTTTCAAAAGATTAAAATGCTAGGATTGAATAACAAACAGCCTATGCAAAAAGGGGGGAAAGTCTATTCAATCCTGCTAGAAAATGGGAATACCAGAGCGCAAACACCCCTGGCAGAAAGTGAGCATCTTGTCCCTGACTGAAAACAGGGAAGGTTGAGTCGGTGGGTTGGCTGTTGACGAAATTGGGCCTGACTACTTCTCAGCAGCTTGAGGCAAATGGGGAGGGGCTTCTGACATTACTTTCATGGTATTGGGTACAATGAGGCCTGATGGAAACAGTTTCTGATGCTGGTCATTCTGACTTTAATAACCATTATTACAAACGGCTCTCACTAGGAAAAGCTTTATGCTGTACCTAAGTCTATGTGTATCTGCTACATTTTAAGCTCTTCATAACCACTCTGACTGCTAGGGCATCAAAATATTTGCTGTCCCCACCTGTATGTACTGCTATGATATGCCTCAGAGCTGGAAAACGGGGAGGGGAATTAAACAGGTGTGGGAAGGAATGCACAATTTTGAAGTGTAGCCACCCTTCTTATATGTGTGGCTCAGCCAGGTATGTCAGAGATCACCCACCAGCACTTAACTGACTTTAGGTTAACATACAGTGGAGGACATCTGCTCTCCTATTGTGTTTCCATCATCAGTTCTGGAAGTTGTGTAACTCCTCCCTGTAAAATGTTAATATGCATCAAGCATGTGTTGGCTTCAGCAACCATCCCCATGTGCTGAGAAAGCAGCTCCATATAGTAACCTCCCATGTCAGTGCTTCTTCCAATGATGCTAGCCCAGGCAGGAGGGGCTCAGGTTGGCTATGGGATGACAGATGCTTTCAAACATGTTTTTTTCAAATGGGACTAGGAAACTATACATGCAGAGAGGTAAGATGATATGGGAAGAGCTCACTGAAAGGAAGAAAAGTCTTTACTAGCTCCTCTCCCTGGCAGGGAAAGGCAGCCAGTGTGATTCCATTTTCTGCTATTGCTCTGGTTTTAAAACTAATCACAGCAACATGTTCACCACTTGTGTAGCTTTAAAAAAAGGGAGAAAATTCCATCATTTCTTCATCTGGAAGGTAAAAGTGGACAGTGATGGGGAAGACAAAGGGGCTGCTTCTTTCTAAGTCCCTCAGATACCCCACAGTACCTGTGAGATCTACACCTGCCAGGAAATAGTTGTAATTAAACTCAAAGGGGCAGCTTTCCATAGAGTAACGAAAGCTTTTTAGATGCCTGTTGTTGCCAAGGTACCTACATGCTGCAAAGGGGGTGATTTGAGGTGTACATCATTTGGAGCTGGAGCCAGGAGCTGGTGGAAGTAACTGCCTCATCTCAGTGGGGGCTCAAGGTTGAGACAATGGGAGCACCTCTCCCCAACCTGTAGCCAAAGTTTTGGAGTGGGCAAGATGAAAAGTTTGGCAACTTACTTCACAGCTCCAGACTGTGGCGCTTGGGTCCAGTGTGATTTGTGGACTATCACTATCAAGCAACAGAATAGCCCCTAAAATTTTTTTCTCTGGGTTAGAGCTAGTCCAGCCTAGCAATTCTGTCTTTCCCTCTGTATGTAAAGCAGGGGTGAGAATGGATCAAGCCAAATGCTAGAGGAAAATTCAGCAGATGGGGCTCTGCTCACTCGAAGCAATGCTGCTACAAGACGCAGTGCTCTTACTGGGGCTGGCCGTTAAGATGAGATGTAAAACAGATTCTTACGATGAGTAGTCTTTGAAAACACGACAGCATATTTTACAGTAATAGGGATCTTAGAGCCAATGTCTTTAGTGAACTGCATTCAGTCTCCCTCCTTGTCCCTAGCAGTTTAAACTGGCTACACTGTTCTTCCCTTCCTGTCCTCAACTTTTGAGATAGTGTTACTATATCCTGTAGCTACTGTACTTCCCACTATACAGGAGGCTAGAGTTCCACGGTGGGTGAGATGACATAGCTATAGGTAATCAGTTTGCAAAGCACAGTGCAGACATTTGTGAGCATAATGGTAGGGAATATTTGAATTCTGCAGTATCATTGTGATGAGTGGGGTAGCACTTTAAAATGACATTAACAAGCTTGTACATTTCCACTATCTTTCTGTCAATCCCTGTTACTCTTTCAAGAGCCTTCTTGCTGCTAACTGATTTCTCCAAGGCTTTTTTAAGTTGAGTGTTGCAATTGCCTCTCTTCTAAGCAACCCCAGCCTTCCCTTCCTTTCAAAGAGCTGCAGGAGCGGAGAACTTAAATTGAATATTCTTTCTCTTTAAAAACAATTGTTAATCTGCAACCACTAGTCTCTCTTTACAGCAGTACCTATTTGCCAGCATGCAGGCCCATTTTTGCCCCATAGTCCAATACCTGCCCTCAGCAAACACTATAGGATGATAGTCAAGGAAGAGAATGGCAATAGGTGCTTCCATAGTGGTCATACATTGAGATGTTTACAGTGGAGCAGATACATTTTAAAAAAAGATTCTGGTTTTAAGCAAATGAGAAGTCAAATTCATTTCCCATGACTTAGCAGCAGTAGGAGAGAGAGACAGTTTTACCAGGACTATAGGCTTCCATAGCTGCTTTTTAGAGTTCAGGTCACTCGTGCATGAGAGTGCTGAGGCCTTGTCTACAGGAGAAAATTGCACCACTCTAACTTAAATAGTTTTTTAAATCGTTTTAGTTTAATGGATGCAAGCCTGTTTGGATACTCTGGTTTTAGGCTAAGAATGTCTGCCTGCAGGTTAGCATCAGTTCATTAGGAATCTGTTTTAAGTTAAACCAAAATAGGCCACCAAACCGGAAATAAAGCAATTTAAGTTAAACCAGTGCAACTTTCTGCTACAGCAGGCCTAAGTAAACTTAACCCTCAGCCAGCAAGAGAATGTGTAAACAGTGGTGTCCCCCAGGGACCAGTCCTCTCCAACATATTCATAAATGATCTGAAAAAAGGGGTAAACAGTGAGGTGGCCAAATTTGCAGATGATACAAAACTTCTCAAGATAGTTAAGTCCCAGGCATGCTGCAAAGAGCTACAAAAGGATCTCTCAAAACTGGATTACTGGGCAATAAAATGGCAAATGAAATTCAATGTTAAGTAATGCATATTGGAAAACATAATCCCAATTATAATGATGAGGTCTAAATTAGCTGTTACCACTCAAGAAAAAGATCTTGGGAGTCACTGGGGACAGTTCTCTGAAATCATCCACTCTATGTGTAGCGGCTGTCAAAAAAGTAAACAGAATGTTGGGAATCATTAAGAAAGGGATAGATAATAAGACAGAAAATATCATATTGCCCCTATATAAATTCATGGTACCCCCCATATCTCAAATACTGTGTGCAGACGTGGTCACCCCATCTCAAAAAAGATATATTGGAATTGGAAAAGGGCAACAAAAAGGATTAGAGGGTGTGGAACAGCTTCAGTAGGAGGAGAGATTAATAAACCTGTGACTTTTCAGCTTGGATAAGAGCCTACGAAGGGGGAGTATGATAGATGTCTATAAAATCATGACTGGTGTGAAGAAAGTAAATAAGTGTTATTTACGCCTTCACGTGACACAAGAACTAGGCGTCACCAAATGAAATTATAAGGCAGCAGGTTTAAAACAAACAAAAGTATTTCTTCATATAATGCACAGTCAACTTGTGGAACAATTTGCCAGAGGATGTTGTGAAGGCCAAGACCATAACAGGGTTCAAAAAAGAACTAGATTAATTCATGGCAGATAGGTCCATCAATGGCTATTAGCCAGGATGGGCAGGGATGATGGCCCTAGCCTCTGTTTGCCAGAAGCTGGGAATGGGCAACAGGGTGGATCACTTGATGGTTAACTGTTCTGTTCATTCCCTCCGGGGCACCTGGCATTGGCCACTGTTGGAAGACAGGATACTGGGCTAGATGAATCTTTGGTCTGACCCAGTATGGCCACTCTTATGTTCTAGAATAAGGACTGGAAAAATCACAAGCATATGGTAGACAGACACTATGCCAGGGGGGTGAGATTTCATCATTATGCAAGTGAGTTGATCATCTCACT